AGGAAGGATCACCAACCCAGCAGAGATGTTGCAGACAGCTAGGGTTGGAGTTGGTTGACAGTGAGATTCTGGAAATGCCTGAGATGAGATGAGAGAAACAGAGACACAGACACAGAGAGGGAGACAGACAGAGAAAACTATAGCCCAGTCAAGAAAGGAGACATCCCTGAAACAGAAACCTTCCAGAACCAGGACAGCTTTCCTCAACAGTGCTTCTGGCTTACTTTAAGGCCCCTGTTGTGGTGAGCTCCTTTTGTTGCATTTAACCCTAAATTGAGAAAAAGCCCTCACGAAGCCCAGCCCAGTCCAGCCCACTCTGCTATTGCCCTAACCTTAAATATCAAGTAGGGAACAACAGGGATTGCCAGCTGGTCATGGAATGCCATCAGTGCAATGGAAGATCCAGAAAACAGGAAAACAAAGGCTGGAGTTCATTCAGTGATCCTAAGGGAACAAAAGAAAATAGTGTTGCTACAGACGGATGTGGCTTTCATAACCAGAGCAGAGTGCCAAGGGAAGGAAAAAGAAGGCAGTCTTGGGAAGTTGAGTATATAATTTCTGGAATCAAACATGACGACAAAGGGAGGAAGTCACCCGAGGACACAGAAAAAGAAACACACACACACATATACTCACTCACAGGAAAACCTGAAAAAAGGCTGGGCATGGGTGTGTGAGCCTAGGTAGGAGAATTGAAAGTTCAAGGCCAGCCTAGCCAGGGTGTGGGGAGACAGCTCAGTAGGTAAAATATTTGCCACATAAGCGTGAATACCTAAGTTTGATCCCTAGCACTCACATAAAAAGCTGTGTGGGAGAAACACAGACAGGCAGGTCCCTGGAACTCACTGGCCAGCCAACCCAAGCCAAATCAGTAAACCCCAGGTCTCAGTGAGAGATCTTGTCTCAAAAATCCTGTTCCTTAGGGACAACACAAAAGGCTGACCTCTGGCTTAACATACATGAAGCTAGGGCTTACTGCTCTAGCCTTGTGGGCTACACTGCTTGCATACACATGTGTACCTGTATACACACAAGGACACAGCCATCTACACATAAACACACCCACAAGGAAAGTGACAAACAGGGCTGGGAGGGCAGTGGAGGCAAATAAGAACAAAGTATAACGTATGTATGTATGAAAATGTCCATAAAAGGGGGAGCTAGAGACATTCCTCAATTGAGAGAATCCTACCCCAGCATGCATGAAGCTATAAGGGCTCTATTCCCAGTGCCTCATAAACCGTGTGTGTGTGTGTGTGTGTGTGTGTGTGTGTGTGTGTGTAATCCTACACTGGGCAGTGGTAGGCTGGAAGATCATAGATTAATGAGTTGGAGGATACATGAAACCCTGTCTAAAAAAAAAAAAAAAAAAGGCTCAAATTCAATCTTGTTCGTAATTCAAATATATAAAAAATAAAAAACTAAAAAAAAAAAAAGGCTCAAAAGCCTGTCATTCATTGAGAAATCACAGACTGTCAGGACAAAGAGGTGATAATACTCAGGGAAGAAAAGTCATGCCATCTTCAAAGAACTAGAATAATAAATTATTATTATTTAAATATCAGCTGTCCTGATGCTGTTCCTATCAACAGTTCAATCGAGACAGACTGCAGAGCCTTCAAGCTCATGGGGAAATGATTTACGCCCCAGAACTGCACATCCAGCAAAACTGTTGACCTGGTGTGAAAGCTGAATAGACATAATGTAGGCTTGTAAAAGCTCAGAGACATAGCCACTACACACCCCTGCTAGAGAATATTGTGAGGACTTGTCCTAATCAAATTAGAGGCTAAGCCAAAGAGGAGGAAAGTTAAAGTAAGATGGTAAGTGGAAACTGTAGGTGCCCAGCCTATAGCCACAGCCAGGGATCCTGGAGGAAGAGGCAAAGTCAGATGAGAGCATCTGGGAGGGGAGGAGGAGAGCTGGGTGGTGAGAGGAGGCTATAGTATCAGGAGACTGTCAGATTGAGAATGTGATAATGGCACCCAGTGAGAGAAGGTGGGACAATCAGAAGTTCAGAACAAACAGTAAGACACAGTTTTTATTTTTATTTTTTACTTTATTTTTTATTTTTTGGTTTTTCAAGACAGGGTTTCTCTGTGGCTTTGGAGGCTGTCCTGGAACTAGCTCTTGTAGACCACGCTAGTCTCAAACTCCCAGAGATCCACCTGCCTCTGCCTCTGCCTCCTGAGTGCTGGGACTAAAGGCATGCACCATCACCAGCTGGCTAAGACACAGTTTTTAAAGGCAAGGTCTTCCTCTGTAGCCTAGGCTAGCTTCAAATTTGCCAACCTCCTGCCTCAGCCTTCTGAATGCAGGATTACAGGTAGTATAGCTGGACAACACAATGTCTAGTTTGATTAAAAACAACAGACTGAGCAGTGGCAGCATACACCTTTAATCGTAGAACTCAGGAGGCAGAGGTAGGCAGATCTCTGTGAGTTTGAGGTCTACAGAGTTCCAGGACAGGCTCCAAAATTACACAGAGAAATCCTGTCTCAAAACAAACAAACAAACAAAAAAACTTAAGTGGTTCTCTTCAGTGATTCTCAACCTTTGGGTAGGGACTCAGGGCCCAGGGTTCTCATATCAGATACCCTGAATATCAGACATTTACATTACAAAAATCAGATATTTACTTTAAAATTCATAAGAGTAGCAAAATAATAGCTATGAAGTAGCAACAAAAATAATTTTAGGGGCTGGGCGGTGGTAGTGTACAACTTTAGTCCCAGCACTTGGGAGGCAGAGGCAGGCAGATCTCTGTGAGTTCGAGCTCAGCCTGGTCTACAAGAGCTAGTTCCAGGGCAGCCTCCAGAGCTACAGAGAAACCCTGTCTTAAAACCCCGCCCCCTACTTTTTTTTTTTTTTTCAGTAGATCAGGCTGGGCTCGAACTCACAGAGATCTGCCTGTCTCTGCCTCCAGAGTGCTGGTATTAAAGGTGTGCGCCACCACTACCTGACCCACAATGACTTCTTAATTTCAGAGAAGCTGAGGGTGAGAAATCTGACCAACTCATAAAATTCTGAATGGAAACAAAAGTATAGGAACCTAAGATTTGAACTGGAAGCCTACAAGACCACACTATTTAAAGCTTTATCTATTCTAGGCAAATGCTGTACCACTGAGCAACATTCCTCAGCCCCTTTAGGACTTTTAAATCAATATAGGGATGACAGGAGAAAAATTAAAAGTAGTTTTTAACAATCCAAGATGGGTGCAGTAGTGTACTTGGGTAATGAGGGGGGCAGGAGGCTGAGAGTTCAAGGCCAGGTTGGGAAGTGGTGGTACAGGCCTTTGATGCCAGCATTCAGGAGGCAGAGAGTTCAGAGGCACTCAGACAGAGACAGAACTCTGAGTTCAAGGCCAGCCTGGTCTACAGAGTGACTTCCAGGACAGCCAGGGCTACACTGAGAAACCCTGTGTCAAAAACAAAACAAGAACAAAAGGATTTAATGCAGGTCTTGGTGACAGGATACCCTGTCTCAACAACAACAAATTTGAATTCACACCTGAGATAATCAAGAACCAGGCAGGACTAAACAGAAGGTTCAGCCCTTCCTGGGGAAGATTCAGAGACAAAGGGATGCTCCCAGGTGCAGAGATCCCAGAGCTCATACAGCATTTCTAGAATGGCCCAGACACTGCTGTGGGACTGGAAGCAGTAGGCTAGGATTGACAGACTCAGTGAGGATGAGAATGAAGACCTGACAACAGTATTTCAGGAGATTTTACCCAAGAAAGAATTTCAGACAAGCAAAATACCACAAGAAAAAATAAGAACGGAGACAAAAGAATCCACAGTGAACTGTTGCTAAAGGGATGCGGTGGACCATGATTTAGGCACTAAGGATTCTGCAAGGTCTACAGGATTATGTAAGACTGCTAAACAAGGAGAGAAAATGCTAACAAAGGAGTAACAGGAAAAATGAACACACTAATTGTAGGGGTTGAGGAAGGAACAATATCTTGAAAATCTTAGTGAAAACATCGAGGTGTGGTGATGCCTGCCTGTAATCTCAGCAATTGGGGGGCTAAGGTATTACTACAAGTTTCATGCCAGTCTGGGTACAAAGTGAGTTCCAGGCCAGCCTGGGTTAGAGTATCCCACCCTGCAAGTTCTTTCCTGCCCCCTCCCCCACCAGACAGTCTTAAAACCCAGACACAGATCACATTGCAAGTCCGGGGAACTGTGGCAGCTATCAGAGTAGGAGGCCTCCATGCCCCTCTTGTCTGCAATGGGTCAGGGGGGTAGCATGTGTATGGACACTTAGGATGAGTCGGATACCACTGAGTTACATGGACAGTGGCACTTCCTGTATAGGGTCATGGTATTAAGGATTCTTGGGGCCTCTTTGCCAAGAGACAGTGGGAGCTAGGAAGACAATAAATGTGGCTTTTCTGTAATGATGAGGTACACTGATAGCTGCTAACTGACCCAGTCTCCCCAGCAATCATTTGAGGTGCTGTCAACAAGACAAAAGTGAGGCCCAGGGGCCCAGGCACTTGGCAAGGAAATAACCTTTTTTTCTTGGGGTGGGTGTTGGGGAGAAAGCACCAGGTATTGCCTGGAGGTGGGTAGGCACCAGGAGGACCCTTACAGGATACTGTAATCCTGGCCTGTAAGACTTTGAGCACTAAAAATAACAAAAAAGTAAAGAAAAAAAAGACTTTGGGCATTTTCAGTGAACTGGGCCCTGAAGGAAAAGTCTGCATAAAGGTACCAAATCTCCAGGAGCAGATGTGCCAGGAAGCTAGATGACAAGAAACTGCCTTGTGCTAACCCGTTTGGAGCTTCTGTCAGGGTCTGGAATCCCAAGTGTCTTTCTATGCCTCTACCTAGGCAATACAGCAACACCCAGTATGGGATGGTCTATGCTGCATATCACGAAAGGGAGTGGTTACTCATTGAACACTGGAAGTTATAAACAGGACTCACAGTCTTAATTACCTGGACCAAAGGCCTCTCTCCTTTCTCCTGACAGGCACAGTGGCTCAATCTGGCCCTTAGACTTTTTTCCTCTGTGTATAGGCCAGCACAGAGGTGCCAAGGCAGCCGTGGAAGCAGATCCCTGTACAAGCAGCTGTGGGGGTCTTGCGATGTTGGTCATCTGGTGGTTATGGCCTCTGCTGGCCGTCTGCGCTTCTGACCCATTCCAGCTCAAGGCAAAAGAAATCATGAAGACCACACCGGTCATTGATGGGTGAGTAGCTACCTATTGCGGTGCCTGCAAGGGCCAGAAACTTTCACTCCTCTGCTGGGGCCTCAGTTTCCCCACTGTACCACGGTTCTTATCCTTTTCAGGCCTCAGCTTCTTGGTGGAGAGTTTTAGGACCTAAAAGGTTTCAGCAAAAGAGGGCAGGAAAGGAAGGAGGGAGTGTCCCAGAACCTGGCTTCGAGGGCTCCGAAAGCTCAGAGTTTGGGTTGCATTGGGGGGATTCTGAGGTCTCCCAACTCTCTAGTCATATGTCTGAGGAAGAGATCCAAGTCCCCTACCCGGATCTCAGCTGAAAAGCTGAGGTGAGCGTGGCTTTACCTCAATAAGGTCCTCTTGAGCATCCTTCTGGCTCTCCTCCATCTCATGCCCAGCCGGGTGCCAAATGCCCCAGTGCCTGTCTTGTTCCTTTGTGGGGGTGTCTCATATGTCCAGTTCACACGCCCTGACCCCTCTGACAGCACTAGAATGCTTGAAGTCCTTTTGCCAGTTCCTTACCACCTGTCCTCTAATTCTAGCTATCACATCCATACCCCTACTGGCCAATCACCCTCCCACTGGATTATTGTAGAAGTTTCTTTTTTTTTCTTTTTGGTTTTTTGAGATAGGGTTTCTCTGTGGCTTTGGAGGCTCTCCTGGAACTAGCTCTTGTAGACTAGGCTGGTCTTGAACTCACAGAGATCCACCTGCCTCTGCCTCCCGAGTGCTGGGATTAAAGGCATGCGCCACCACCACCCTGCATTGTAGAAGTTTCTAATGGACCTAACCACCAACACCCTTGATCCCTGAGGCACTTACAGGTTGGAACTGCAGTTTGACCTGGCAGGGGTGGCTCTGTTTCCTCAGGAGACAGGAGTCCCATGGTCCCATTTTGTCTTCCCAAAGAGGGCAGAGAAGGGATAAGGAGAGAGGTCGGCAGAGTGGTATGGCAGTGGAGTTCTGAGGTATCTAGGGCCCCATTCAAGTGCTCCACCCCTCCCCAGCACCTGTAATGGAGATGAGTTTCTTAGACCGGCTGTAAGTGTCCTCAGGCAAAGAATAAAGTTCCTTTCCTGGAGCCTGCCTAGCCCTGCCTAAGGAGCTGGCAAGGCTGCCTTGGCTGGCCCATAACCATTCATTTATCCATTCAGTGTCATGATAAATGTGTGCCAAGTACAAAGGGAGGGGTAAAAGGGACAAAGTCGGTCCAGCCCGTTTCTGGACCTTCCCTCACACAGAGAGACTGAAGCTTGCATGTTCCTTTGCTGAGAGATGGCTCGGCCACCAGCTCTAGGGAGGGGTACATTCCCTGAACTTCCCAAAGGAGCTTCCTGGATTGACTTCCTGGATTTTGGAAAATCCATTACTGGGAGTGGATGGGGTCAGGTGAAGGAGAACTGATTGGTGGCAGGTGACCTAGTCCATGGACTCAACAACCCTGAGTCAATTGTTGTATAATGCTGGGTGCACTTGCCTCCACTTGTCATCCCAGCACTTGGGAGGCTGAGGCTAAAGGGTCAATCACTGCAGGCTTAGGGCCAGCCTGGATTCCATAATGAGCTCATGTCTAGTCTGGATTAATAGAAAGGCCCTGTTTAAAAACACTATCAACTCCAGGCACAGTGGCACATGTCTTTATTCCCAGCATTCAGGAAGCTGAGGCAGGTGGATCTCTAGGAGTTCAAGGACAGCATGGTCTACAGGGTTCTAAGACAACCAGAGCTACATAGTGAGACCCTGTCTTGAAAAACAAACAAACAAAAATAAGGGGGTTAGAGAGATGGCTCAGTGGTTAAGAGCAGTTGCTGTTCTTGTAGAGGACTAGTGTTTGAGTCATCTTTTTTAATTAATTTTTTTTTCAAGAAAAGGTTTCTCCTGTGTAGCCCTGTCTGACCTAGAACTCAATGTGTAGACCAGGCTGCCTTAAAATCTATCTGTAGACCAGGCTGACTGTCTCTGCCTCCTGAGAGCTGGGATTAAAGGCATGGGCCACCACTGCCTGGCTTGGTTCTTAACACCCACATAGTAGCTTACAGCCATCTGTAAATTCAGTTCCAGGTGATCCAATGCTTCTCACCTCTGTAGGTGCCAGGCACACACATGATACACATACAAACATACATGCAAGCAAAAAATAAAATACACATAAAATAAAATAAATAAATCTAAATAATGAGAAAACAATAAACAAACAGGTTGGGTACAGAGGCATAAGTCTGTAATCTCAATTTGTAGAAGGTAGAGGCTTAAAGATCACAGAAAATTTTAGGCCAGTGTGGCCTACATGGAGAGTTTCAGGCTATCCAGGGCTACATAGTAAGACTCTGTCTCAAAAGAAACCAACCCTCAGAAAAGCCTATGGGTTTCACAATGACATTTGGCTAAAGGACTGTGTATGTATACCTCAGTGGGGCCTTATGATATTGCCTAGGGATGAATTGATGTCCTGTTTTTGCAGAAGCTCTCATAAGAATGAAGATGCCTAACAATATATTTCTCTGGACAGATCCAAATGACCACACTAACAGTTACTTATTTACCTTAATAACATGCCTGGTATCTTGGGGAAGATACCAAAGTGTCCTATGTCATAGATAAGAAAACCAAGGTGTAGGAAAAAGAAGCTGGGACTGGAGAAGGAAAGTGGACCATGGGAACAAAGCCAGGGCTGGGGAAGGGAGATTTGTCTCTGCTCACCTTAAAGGGGCCTTTCGGGCCCAGCTTAACCTAGGCTGCAGCCACAAGACTGATACACACTGTGGGTGCCTCCTCCACAATCCTGTGCATGCAAATCAGCGCAGTGTAGATCTGTGGCAAGCATTCTACTGGGCCTGAGCCTGCCTCGGCTGCTCCTGGACTGTCTGCTGGAGTTCAGTGACAACTCAGGCTCTGTAGCAGCACAGGCAGAGGTGACAAAAGTCTTTATACTAGCTAGCTGTCAGACGCGCCTCAATCCTATGAGTGATGCGTCACTCCCCAGAAGGATGGGGCCAGGCTACTCCCTATATGTCACAGCTTTCCCTGCAAGGGGAAAACTTACTCTTTGAACTGAAAATGTCATATTCCTATAAGGTGTCTGCATTGGTCCCCAGCCCTCAGGCCCAAGTGATTCTACAGCAGAGCAGAGTCTACCCTCTCTTCCTGCCTGGGGGTTAGTGTAGGGGATAGGGGAAGGAAGGCTGGCCTAGCTATTCTCAGCTCATGGTCACTTGGCCTGGAGTGCAATTAGGAATTTCACCAGTGTTCAGGCATGTTCAAGTCAGAGGTATTTTACCTCTGAAGCCTGCATGTTAGCCTTGAGCCATAGGATTTTGAATTTGAGAAGGGCAGTCTGCAAGCCAGAGCTGGTTCAGAAGCCTACAGGCCCAAACAGACTTCCTAATCCACCTTGTACTAACTCTGGTTCCCTCCAGGCACAACGACTTGCCTTGGCAACTGCTAACGTTGTTCAACAACAAGCTGAATGACTCCAAGGCCAACTTGACCACACTGATGGAAACACACACCAACATCCCCAAACTGCAGGATGGCTTTGTGGGGGGCCAGGTACATTCTCTGATCTCCCATCTGCTCTGTACTGGGAGAGCATATATTCTCCCCTATATTCCCCGTGGGACTGGTTAGGATGGCCTGCCTTAGAGAAGCATGCTTCCTGGGCCCCTGGGTCACAGGCCTTGGAAGGGCACACCTGACTAAACCAGCCTCCAGGCCTTCTTCTTCTTCTTCTTCTTTTTTTTTTTTGGTTTTTTGAGACAGGGTTTCTCTGTGGCTTTGGAGGCTCTTGCAGTCCAGGCTGGTCTGGAACTCACAGAGATCCGCCTGCCTTTTCCTCCTGAGTGTTGGGATTAAAAGCGTGCGCCACCACCACCGGGCTCCCCCAGGGCTTCTAAATGGGCAGGAGAACAGACCCATGTGTACACTGGGGTGGGCTCAGATATCAGTGGTCTGGACTACAAGCTATTCCTCTTTGCCCCCAGTTCTGGTCTGCATACATGCCTTGTGATACCCAAAACAAAGATGCTGTGAGAAGGATATTGGAACAGATAGACGTCATACACCGCATGTGCCAACTATATCCTGAGACCTTCTTGTGTGTCACCAATAGTTCAGGTAGTTTCCCACCAAGGCCCTAATGTCCTCCTGCCAGGCTTGGTCTTGAGTAGAGGGTGGGACTTTGAATACCGAATGTCTAGTGCCAACCCTCTCCTTTGTTCTCTGTAGGTATCCGACAGGCTTTCAGTGAGGGGAAAGTGGCCAGTCTAATTGGTGTGGAAGGTGGCCACTTAATTGACAGCAGCCTGGGTGTCCTGCGGACACTCTACCATCTAGGCATGCGGTACTTGACACTCACCCACAACTGCAACACACCCTGGTAAGGGGTCCCCACTGTGAAGCCCCTGCAATGTGATGAGGAGAAGAAACCAAACATTTCCTGTCATATACAGAACTCTCCTGAGCTCCAGATCAGGCCTTGTTAGCTAGGCAGGCGAGGGTGACACTATTGCTTTGCTCCCTAGACACGCGTGTGTTTCTCTTCAGGGCCGACAACTGGATGGTGGACACAGGAGATGACAAGGCTGAGAGCCAAGGACTATCAGTCTTTGGGAAGGTGAGGGGGAAGGACCACAGTCCCCAAAGGACAGAGGGCTAGGAAGGTTTCCAGAGTTGAGTTCGTTGGAACCCCTGAGCATTCAGGATGCTAAGTCCTGAGTGCCCCACAACCTCCAGACACTAAAGGGTTAATTATCACCTCTCCAGTACTGCTTCTCCCATGCCCCAAGTTCAGAGTGTCTATGAGGTGTACCTCCAGACCTTCTTCTCCCACCTCCAGAGAGTGCTGAAGGAGATGAACCGTCTGGGTGTCATGATTGACTTGTCCCATGTGTCTGTGGCCACCATGAAGGATGCTTTGCAATATTCCAAGGCCCCAGTCATCTTCAGTCACTCCTCGGCCTACAACATCTGTCCTAGCAAGCGGAATGTACCTGATGATGTACTCCAGCTGGTGGTAAGGCATGAGAGGAGTGAAGGGGAGCCCCTTGTCTCCTATGGGCCCTGTCCAATTTCCACTCCCCACCCTTCTCTGAGCAGAACAAAACAAGGAGTCTGGTGATGGTAAACTTCTACAGTAAATTTGTGTCCTGTTCAAAAGATGCCACCCTGTCCCAAGTGGCTGGTAAGTGGATATGACCACACAGTGACCAAGTGGGGGAGGGCCTTGCTTAGGACCCACACCTGCTACTCTTTACAGACCACCTGGACCACATCAAGAAAGTGGCAGGAGCTGGGGCTGTGGGCCTTGGAGGAGACTACGATGGTGTTACAGAGTAAGAGTGACATCTTGTGCTATGATGGAGTTACAATCCATTTGATGTGTGCTGATGGGACAGGGGAGGGGGAAGTGTGTCCTGCGTACGTGCACGGCATTTTGCTGCAAGCCTGTTCTTTTGGTCTTCATATGCCTGTCTGCAATGCCTGGTTCTCTTGGTCTTGGTATAGGCTCCCCAAGGGACTGGAGGATGTTTCCAAGTACCCAGATCTCATAGCGGAGCTTCTCAGGAGGAACTGGACAGACACAGAGGTCAGAGGTGTACTAGCTGACAACCTTCTGCGGGTCTTCTTTGATGTTGAGCAGGTGAGGAGAAAATGGCCATTTGGGTTTCCTGCCCTTCCCCCAACCACAAGGCTGGCTGTCTAACTTGGGTCTGTCTCCAGGCAAGCAATAGCATGGAAATTCCTGAGGAAGAGCCTATCCCCCTGGGTGAGCTGGAGGGCTCCTGCAGGACACACTATGGCTACTCACAAGCTCCCAGCATCCACCTCCAGATGGGGGCCCTGCTGGCCTCTCTGACTCCCTTGCTCTTCAGTCTGCATCTTCTGTGATATCCTAAGGATTAGTGTTCTCAGAGCTCAGGGAAGTCCGGACAAGCCAAGAGCCCATGTTGTCCATGTAAAAACACAACCTTTCCAAATAAGCAATGGGCTTATCTAGGGACAGTTCAAGACACACGCATACAATAAATGAAATGACCCCTTTAAGTGCAGAGTATGTATGTTGTCAGTATCCCACCCTGGGAGGTACTTCCAAGCATCTGGAGAACAGATATTATGAGAACGAGCCCTGTGTGAACTGGGACACGGGAATGTCTAAGTTCTTGGAGAGGAGGGCTGTACAAGGTCTCACATAGACACTGGCTAGTTTAAAAAATTATGGTCCAGGTTCTAGTGGCTACCTCCCCCCAGCACTTGCATGTACATGTACCTAACACTCCCACAACATATACTCATGTGCACACAGCCCAAACACATACATACACTCACTCAGATGCACATATTTAACATACATGGGCACAGGTACTCTGGCACATACCATATGAGAGTCGCATATATACCCATGTTTATTTGGGCTCTGTAGTGCTGGGAAGGGACCCAGGGAATCTGAATTTGGTCCAGCCTTGTAGGGAATGATCCAAAGGGGATGGGCACCTGGACTCTCCAAGGCTGTCTCACACAGTTAACAGCAGGTCTTTCCAGATAGCAGGACAGAGGTGGTCCCATATGTTACCTAGCATGGCTGCAAGTGAAACAGGATCAAGCAGGCCTTCCAATGAGTCCAGACATTCAAGGATGAGTCTTGAGAATAAACTAGTGAGGGACAACATGGAGCAGTCCTGCTGAGTAGCCAGTGACTCCTTTCTGGTCCATACTGCTGAGACACTCCACATGGACATGGGGAAGGACTCCTTTGTCAAGAGCCTGTCCCTACCTGCCCTGACAGGTACCCACAAAGGGTGAAGGCCATCACTGCCTGAGTATATGAAGCCCCATGGCCATATATCTCTGTCCCTTTCAGATCTACCTTCCCTGAAAAAAAGGTAGGTAGACAATAACCACAGCCCATGCGGCTGACCACAGGGCCTTCCATCTGGCTTTAACATTTTTAGTTTTGAGGCAGGCTCTCATGTATCCCAGGTGGTCCTCCATGGGATGATCGCTAACTTCTGAATCTCCTGCCTTCACTTCCTAAGTGCTTCAATTAAAGATACAGACCACCTCACTTGGTTTATATGGTGCTGAGGATCGAACATGGGACTTGCTGCATGCTAGGCAAGCACGCTACCAACTGAGCATAGCCTCAAGTTGGCTCTTAGAGTCCTCCATGTGCAGGCTGCCTGTCTGCACATGCCACCAATGAATGAAAGCATAGGGACCTGCCCACCCCGAACAAGACTTGGTCCTGTATCTGTCACAACATGGCCCACCAAGCAGCATCCTTGTCTAGTCTGATCTCAATGTCTTGGGAAACACACTGTGACTACATAGGATCAATGCATAAGGGGGAATGCTTAGTAAAGGTTTTCTGGGCCCATTGTCTGGCCAAAGCAGTGGGAAAGGTCCCCCTGGTGTATTTCCAATGTATTACACCTCATTTTCTCAGCTGGGAAATAAAGGCACCAAGGTCCCAAAAATAATCCTGGACCTATGTATACTGGCATGTACCTATAACTCTGGCTTTCAAGGGGCTAAGGCAAGGAGATCATGAGTTTGAGATCAGCCCAGGCTACATAGCAAGACCCTGACTCAAAATGTTTAGTTGTCTAAAAAAATCATTTTGTTGTTGTTGAGTCAAGGTCTCATGTAACTAAGGGTGGTCCCCAACTCACTATGCAGCCAAAGGTGACCTTGAATTTCTGATGCATAAAATAATCACACAGTTAAAATCGCTCTATAGCTCCCACTGTGGTGACACATGAAATCTGGTTCTGAAGAGTTCTTCCTGCTTATTGCAGGTGTTTTTTTGTTCACTTATCCCTTTTCCTATTTGGGTCACCATCTTTTCATTTTAAAATTGTGAGGCTGGACATGGTGGCACATGGGTGCTGGGAATTGAACCCAGTGCTCTTAACTGCTGAGCCACCTCTCCAGTCCTGAGATCACCTTTAAAAAAAAGAAAAAAGAAAAAGGCAGCAGGACATGGTGGCTCATCTCTGTAACCCAAGCTCCCAGGAGTTAGATAGAATCTGAAGGATCCATGCAAGTTTGAGGCTAGCCAAGTAACTCCAGTTCAGCCAGCGCTATTTAGCAAGGCTTTGTCTCAATCAAACAACAACAAAACAAAAACCAAAAACAACCAAAAAAGGAAATTTAGTAGAAGTTTCAAATAGTCAGGCATGGTGGTACATGACTCTAATCCCAACAGGCAGATCTTTGTGAGTTCAAGACCATTATGGTCTACATAGTGAGTTTCAAGACAGCCAGAGTTACAGAGGTGAGACTGTTTCAAAGGGACAAGGTTTTTCTATCAGTCCTAGCTGTCCTGAAATTTGTTCTGTAGACCAGGCTGGTCTGGAGCTCACGGAGATCCACCTGCCTCTGCTCCCAAGTGCTGGGATTAAAGGCGTGCGCCACCACCAACAGGCAGATTTTTTTTTTTTTTAAAGAAGGCAGCTAGGCTGGTTCTTACAGTAACTCTTACAGAGTCACACCACCATGCATTGTCATACTTCCTGGAAGTGTGAAGCATGGCATGCAGCCGCTTCTGTTTGGTATGTGCATTGAGTATACATTTATAGGTCAGAGGTTAGCGTGTCTTCATCAACCACTCTCCAACTTCTTATTTTTATAAGTACATAAATTCTTTTTTGTTTATGTATTGTATGTGTATTGGTGTTTTTCCTGCATGTATACCAGAAAGGGGCATCAGATACCATGAACTAGTTATAGATGGTTGTGATCCACCATGTGGGTGCTGGGAATTGAACTCAGGACCTCTAGAAGATCAGCTAGTGCTCTTAACTGTTGAGCCATCTCTCCAGCACCCCTCTCCCAAGCCTGGCTTTTTAACATGACTTCTGGGAATCCAAACTCATGTCTTCATGCTTGTATAGCAAGCACTTTGCCAAAGGAGTCACCTCCCAGGCCCACAGTCAGTTTCTAAGCACTGTTCCCCTCTAAAATGAAATCAGGGATAACTGGGTGCCAAGGCAGAGAAGCCGAGAGCAGCCTGTGAACCCCACAGTGAAGGGGAAGCTAGGACATAGGATGTGCTAAGACCAAAGAGAGCAGGTTGATGGGGCTCAGAAGCCAAAAAGAGGCATCTCAAATAGGAAATAATCTTTATGTCAATACTTTAATATTTAAAATAAACTTGATGGATTGCACTATGAGCAGCCTGACAATCTCCAATCGCCCATGCTTCCCCTTTCCCCTATGGAACCAGGCACCCAGGGACACCAACCTCCTCCCCATTCCTGACTTCATCCTGAGGTGGGGCACTGGATAATCCACATAGGATCTAGCCCGCAGTTCTGTAGCCCTACCCAGGACATCAAAGCAAAGCTTGAGAAACTCTCCAACAATCAATTTATTTACTTACAACAGCATTTTAAGTGCAGATATGCCCATTTTGATGAACCCTGCCCAGCACGCCCAACTCTATTAGTGTACCACAAATCCTGTACCCTCCAAGACCCAGGGAGCTCACAGGCTGTCCCCTGAGAGACTGTAGCTACTCTCAACACCTGTCATGTAGGTTGATTTCAAGGAGCCTGAGGGGGCCAGTTAGACTGTACCTTGGTCCCCACACCCAGGGCCTGACCCCCAACATCAACTTGTCATACGGAACACCGAGGGGCCCCAAAGTGCAGAACAGAAAGAAGCCAAACAGGGAGTCCAGGTAAAGTTTCCAAGTTTGCATGTAACCCTGTAGGCAGTACTGTACTGCTCAGCTTGTGAAGAAGGCTGGGACAAACACACCCCATCTGCTGTGTGCTTTCTACTTTGGCAAAAGAACAAAATCACCAGGAGTTTTAAGAACATGAGTAAACTTCAGGAGACAGAAAAATAAAACAGCAGCCTGTACACACAGCCTTGAGGCCACCCCAGTCAGCATCATCACCTGCCTCCTGCCAGCTTCCCCACTGCAAAGGGATGTAAAAGAGCTAATGGCAGCCAAAGGGGACTGTCCCAGGTTCCCTTTGTGAGCCACCCTGGCTTTCCCTTGGAGAAGGCAGAAGGGCAGCAGCCCATGTCTAAAATGACAGAAAAGTCAGGGGAACCTCATAGTCAAGAGCGAGAAGCTCTGAAAGGCCTGGAAGGCTGTTATCGCTGGAGGCCTGGGGCCATCAGGCAGACCGCTCAGCCCAAGCAGCCCGAAGACCTTCCAGAGGCAGCTGCTGAGGAAGGGTGAGGATCTCTAGGGAGGGAACACCTGGACTTGAGATTGGTGCCAGTTCTGTTCCTGTGAGCTGGGGAAGGGAGCTGAGGGACAGCAAGCCCAGGTAGACTCAGCCAGCTGACAGTGGTAGCCAAGAGCTCAACCCTGGGAAGATGGAGGAGAGTAACCATCTTGCAAAGGCCCTGGTCAGTGTTGGCACTGGACATTTCTGATGCACAAAAGTCCACAGGAACCTACTCAGGGCTGTCACACAACAGAATTTCCTGTCTGCAGAGATGGGGGAAAGGCTTCCAAGAGCTGCCTGGCAAAGGAGTGGCTCTGACCCTCACTGGCCACGGCAAGCAGCAGGTGTGCGTTCGTTGTGATCTGAAGGCCCCAAAGCACTGGGCTGAAGTCCACACATCTTCTGGCCAAACCCTGTCTGTCAATTCACATAGGCAGAGGACAAAACAGAGCTTGCCATCTTCCAGCTGTGGCCCACAAGTCACATGAGTCACCTACACACTTGTGCAAATTCAATACCAGGACAGAGGCCCACTGCCCAACCTAAGGCTCAGTTCTAAGGCGCCCAGCCTGACAGGTTGGAGAAGAGCCAAGGCAGCTATGAGGGGTTGGAGAAAGTTGAGCGCAGAGTGAGGCAGAAGACTCCAGTACATCACAGAACAAGGGAGACAGCACCTGCCCAGGGCATGCTAATTTCTCAGGGCAGCCAACCTGGAAACCAACAAAAAGGATTCGGTAAGAAAGGCAAAGGGCAGAGGTAGTTGAAATACTGTGTACAAGCACTAGACATGAGCCCAGAAGTGAGGACCCACTGAGACTTAGTTTTTCAAAGTTGTCCAGAGATAA